GAGTCTGCCACCTGCTTCTGCAGCGCAGCCAGCGCCTCTACGGAGACGTTCTCGATCTCGTCTATGATGACCCAGCGCATGTGCTGCAGCGCGGTGTAAAGCATGTTTTCGTGCAGCTCTTCATCCTTCCTTCCGCCGCGCTGTCTCCCCGTGCGCAGATGAATGTCCAGACGCCCGAACTTGTGCACTGTGGTGCCCCCAATTTGGGATGCCATACTATTCATTGGAGCCAGTTTCTGGAACTGTGCACCGTGGGGCCATCCGAGGACTTTCGTGAAGAAGCCCGCGCCGTCCTCGCTCAGCCACTGGTGACCTCGCTCTTCCCGCTGCCAGGAAGCCCCAGCGCCAGCGCGCGCAGAGGATCGCTCCCATGCGACCGCGGCTGAGCCGCGCGTTCCTCCGCTGCCTCCTGGACACATCGGTTGATCACCACTTCCAGGAGGCGCCTCTGCCTCTCGTCGGGCGCCACCTTCTGCCCCCGCACACCCTCGAGCCACACCTGCGTGGCCTGGTAGTCTCAGCCCCGCGGGGCGCTTGGCGCCGCGGCACTCGAAGTGGCGCTATTGCGGGCGCCGGCAGCGGCATTGCCGACGACCGAGAGAGCAAGCGCGAGCGTCTTCTCGGCGTGCTCGGCGCGGCCCCCCGCCGACTTCGCTCTGCCGCGCCAGCGCTCGGCCTGGATGCGCGGCGCACCCGCCGAGACACATTCAGTTGGGGAAGGGGGGGGGGGGGCGCATTCGGCGCCATCGGCGGAGACAGATCTGTCTGGGCCACTGCCGCAGCCCTGACCGAGGACGCGTGGCCCACCACTTCTGCCCCCAGGAATGTGTTCGGCGAAGCGCTCGCAGGCCTGGCTGGCCCGCCCGGCGGCTTTTGCCGTGATCTGCGCCTTCGTCTGGGCCGCGGCCAGCTTCGACGCGTGGGCCGCGGCCGCGGCCGCGGCGAGCGCGCCGCGCCCCTGGCGAACCGACCGCGAACGCCCCCTGTCGACACCGCGCAGAAGGAGCTCACCCATCCCCGCGCAGACGCCTACGCGCGCCCACTGCGACCCTCGCGGGAAAGGGAAGCGCCTTCCCGCACAATCTGTAAAGAGTGTCGCAGTCGCCTCGCTCCCGGGCCAGGTCGAGCGCGCGCTGGCGGTCCTGGCGCGCCCGGCCCCGGCTCTCCTGCGCCTCCGCCTCGCGCGCGTTCCGCTCCAGCAGACGCTTGTAGACGCCTTCGTCATCGAGGCGTTCGCCCGGCGCAGCAATCCCGACGCGTCGTCCCAGAGCGGAAGTCCCAGTGGCCCTTAGCGCAAGCGGGGGGGCGGGAATTCCGAGGTCAACTAGATCGCCCGCGTCCGTTTGCAGGGGGACATGCGCGCGGGACACTACGGGGGACCTCGCCCAGAAGCGCGGTCGAGACACGTCTGTGGATCGACCGCGGGGAGTCAGGGCTGCAGTGGGATCGGACACGCGCGGCGTGGCAGCTGCTTGAAGGACCCCCCCCCGCAATCGCGTTCCTAAGACGACGCGTCGCGTTGCGGCCCCCGGAGCTTGGCGCTGGGCTTGGAGCTGGCGCAGCTCCGCCGCGGTCCGCAGCTGGAGCCCCGCCGCCGTGCGCAAGGCCGCCTCCAAGGCCGCCTCCCTGGCAAGCTGCGGCCCCGCCTCCGTCTGCGCGGAGGCGCCGGCTGTCGCTGCGGGCTTCTGCGCTTCGAGAGAAGGGGTCGGAGGCGTGAAAGGCGCCACCTCCCCTTCCTCCTTTTCCGCCTTCTCCCCCTCCTCAGCGTCCGAGTCGGAGGGGTCCGCAGAGCTCGAAGAGCTCGCGGAGCTGGCCCTGGCCGAGGGTGCCGCGTCCGCAGCCTGCGGCCGCGAGTCCAGAAGCTCCCCCGCCTCTTCCTCCGCAGCGACTGCCGCGGATGCTCCAGAAGGAGCAGGGGCAGCCGCGGCAGGCGCTGCTGCGGCCCCCGGCCCGCGCGCCTCTGCCGGCAGCGCGGCGTCTGAAGCAGCCGCGGCGGCAGGGGCAGCCGCGGCAGGCGCTGCTGCGGCCCCCGGCCCGCGCGCCTGTGCCGGACGCGCGGCGTCTGAAGCAGCCGCGGCGGCCGCCGCCATCGCGGCCTGGCCTGCCTCGTCGGGGCTCTGGCGGGCGGCCTTCGCAGCGGCGTCGGCGGCCTCGACCAGCAACCGCTTTTCCCCTCGGAGGCGGTCGCCCCGGAGCTTCAGCCACTCCGGGCCGCACCGGCAATCGCGATTGCGAAGCACGTGGAGGTTCGCACGCGCTTTGCAGCATTCGAGGGGGTCGTCCCAAGCCCGTGGGCCCATGGTTGCAAAGGCAAGCCCCGAATGACGCCTTGAGCCAGTACTGTAGGCCGGATGAGAGAAGCCGTCAATAATTCAACGACAAAAGAATCGAATGCAACGTCAAGCAGTGCACAACAATGCAAATTAATGCGGTAGCCTCCTGGATCTTCGGCTCCCTCATCGCCCTCCTCGTCCTCCGCGTTGTCGTCATCCTGATTCCCAACAGCGCCCATTCCCTCCCGATCTTCTTCTTCTTCTTCTTCGTCGTCATCGTTCTGGCGGGAGGAGGGTCGAACGTCGCCTCCGAAGACGACCCCAAAGACGGCCCCCGTTCGTCCGTCGTCGTTCGTCCGTCGTCGTTTATCGGTTATCGTTCGTAGTCGTCGTCGTCTGTCGTCGCGTCCGACGTGCCAGTCGTCATCGTTCGACGTCGTCGTCGTCCGTCGTCCGTCGTCCGTCGGCGTCGTCGTCGTCGTCCGACGCGCCGTCGTCGATCATTGTTCAACGTCGTCATCGTCGTCGTCATCGTCGTTCGTCGTTCGTCGTTCGTCGTCGCCGTCGTTGTGATCGTCGTCGCAGTCGTGCGTCATCGTTCGTCGCTCGTCGTCGTCGTCGGCGTCATCGAAGGGGGGCCCTTCGTCGTCGTCGTTGTCCGTCGGCGTCATCGTCGTCATCATCGTCGCACTCGTGCGTCATCTTTCGTCGCTCGTCGTCATTGTCGTTGCCGTCGCTCGTGGGCCGCCGATGCCCGAGAGAACCAGAGAACCAACGGTCCACGCCGGAGGCGCTTCCAGTCATCAAATGACGACTCCAAGAAACCTCCAAGAGGCCGCCCAGAGGCCCCTGGGAGTCCCCACAACGACTGGACTGTACGTGGTCCGGACGTGCACCCCGCGAAGCGAAAGGAATCCACGTCCGGAGGTGACGTGCTGAGCGGCAGCGTTTTCCGGCGAGCACCCTAATGCAACGTATCCAATGTCTCCAAAGATTCCATAATTGCAACATATTGTATGGTAATACGTTATCATGTCTCCCCCCCTAACCCCCCCCTGGGAGCTGCGCCACACCGCCGGACCAAAGTGACCCCCCCTTCTGGGGCCCTAAAAACTTACAAAAACACATGAAAAATCAACAAATTCGGCCCCTTGGGCCTCTTGGGGCTCCAAGAGGGGCCTCAAAATGGCCCAAGATGGCCCCAAGACGGCCCAAGACGGCCCAAGATATCCCCAACGGGGGCACATGAGGCCCCCAAGACGGCTCCCACAGGGCCCCCAACGCCCCAAGGACGGCCCAAGAGAGCCCCAAGAGCGCCCACAACTGCGCCTCCAGAGGCCGGAATCCTTGATTTTCCCCTTGTTTCTGCAATATCTTAGCGTTATCGTTTTTTTCGACTCTCAAAAATCCACGACGGCCCAAGCAGCTTCCAGAATCGCCCGAAAACAACCCAAAAAGCCCCCAAGAGGGCCCCAAGACGGCCAAAGAGGGCCCCAAAATTGCCCAAAGAGGCCCCCAAAACGGTCCAAGAGGCCGCGAAGACGGCCCAAGAGGACCCCAAGAGGGCTCCAATGCGGCCGCGAGAAGCCCCCAAGACAGCCTGCGAGGGGGCGAAGCGGCGCAACAGCGCCCCAAGACGGCCCAAAACGCGCCCAAGAGGCCCTAAGAGGCCCCCAAAAAGTCCCCCAGAAACCTCCAAAAGGCCTCCCAACCCCCCCAAAGGCCACACAGCGACCGGAGTGAAATGTTATTTTCCCCCCTCTGGGCGAACTGCGGCGCAGCGCCAGCCAGGTGGAAGTTGGTCACTGCGGCGCCCATGATTAGAGCCAACGCTGGAAGGGAAGATGGGGAGGGTGTATGAAAAGGAAGGAGGGGGGAAAGGCCCCAAAGAAGCCCCCAAGAGGCCCAAAGAAGCCCCCAAGAGGCCGCCCAAGAGGCCCCGCGACGACGTGACTGTACGTGCTCCGGACGTGCACCCCGCGAACCGAGAGGAATCCACGTCCGGAGGTGCTGAGCGGCAGCGTTTTTTCAGCGAACGCCTTAATGCAACGTATCCAATGTATCCAATGATTGCATAATTGCCACATATTGCATTGTGTTACATTATTATGTCTCCCCCCTAACCCCCTCTGGGAGCCGCGCTACAGGAACGGACTAAAATGATCGCCCCTCCTTCTGGGGCCCCAAACCTACAAAAACCTATGACAAATCAACAAATGCGGCCTCTTGGGCCTCTGGGGACTCCAAGAGGGCCTCAAGATGGCCCAAGGCCCAAGACGGCCCAAGATATTCCCAACGGAGGCCCATGAGGCCCCCAAGACGGCCCCAAGAGGGCCCCAAAAGCCCCAAGGACGGCCCAAGAAGGCCCAAAGAGCGCAGGAAGCGAAACGTTTTGGCCTGTAGCGGCACCCAAGTCCCAGCCAGTCCAGCGCAAGAACCTGCCACGCCCTGAGCTCTGGCGGATCCGTATCCAGGCTGACCCGCGTTTCCGGCGAGCTGGAGACGGCCCCCCGCCTCCAGCTCCCCGCCTCCTCAGGAGGGCCACAACTATACACCGACACCAACCTTGGCCAAGCCGATCGTGGGCCCCGGACCGGTGTATTTCGTATTCCCGGCACAGCCAAGACGGCGTACACCCCGATCTTGGGCCGCGGGATGGGCCTGGCCAAGATTGGCGCCTGTGTATCGAAGTCGTCGTCCGTCTCCTGGCCTCAGCCCCCCCTGGGCCTGCGACAGGGCACCCAGCGGCACGTCTTCGCCTGAAGCGGCCTCGAGCGGTGACCGCAGCGCTGGCGGCGGCTCCACTGACGCCGTCGCCTCGGCCAGGGCGCAGCCAGGCGAGGGCGGCGGCTGCGGCGGCAAAACCTGCGCACGAGGAGGAAGAGGCGGAGGAAGAGGAGAGGCGGAGGCGGATGAGGAGGCAAAGGAGGAAGGAGGGGACGGCGACCACGGCGACGACGACGACGAGCAGGCAGAGGAGGACGAGAAGGAGTGGAGTAGAAGCAAGATTGCCTTACAATGGCTGTCCCCTTGTCATGGAGCATAAGGATATCCGGCTGATGGCCATGGACCCCTTGTGGGACATGTCAATCAAGGCGCGGCCGGCACAGTGGCGCAAACACTGGCTTTCCTTCGTGGCGTGATCTCGAGCTCACACGCACCAGTCCTGATCACTATACGAGTCCCACTGAGTCCCACCAACTCTCTGGGCGGAGCTTGTTTAGCGCGGTTCCGTTTCCATTCATTTTTTCCTGTGTTCAAGTTCCGACATATGGCCCGATGGGCGGTATCAGGTGCTCTGGCGCACCTGGCGAAAATCGTCGCGCGTCGCGCACGTGGCGCGGCTGGAGTACAGTCGGCGCATTGCCCTAAGGAAGCCTAATTACATAAGGAACGAGGTCCCTGTTGTCCATAAGTTAAACTTCGATTTCCCATCAAAGCCTGAGAAAAACCGAAGGCAAAGTGTGAAACAACTAAGGAGCAATGAACCCCTCCCAAACGAAAAGGGTTCCTTCTTCAGCGCCCCGACTGTATGTGGCACACTCGGCGCACGTGAGCACGAGGCGCGTCGGACGCACCCGGCTCTGGGGCACCCGGTGCGCGTGGCGCACCTTGCACGTGTGGCCCACCTCGCGAGCTTCCCTCCCCCGGAAACTATTTGGATTCCCAGTGTTAAAGGGGTCCTGGGACACACAAATAGAAAGACATGCATTCCAGGATTCCCTATGTTTCCATATTTTCTTGATTTTCGTCTTCCCTCCTACTTCCCATATTTTCCTATATTGTCCTCGGGATCGACGATTCGTTGTGTCTGTGTCTGTGTGTTTTCCCCCTCCTGATTCATGTCAATCCGATGGCGACCTCAGCCCATGCTGAGTCTCGGGTGGCACGCGCAGTATGCGGTGAAGGCGGGACGGAGTGAGCAAGACTGCTTGGCGTAGCCGTTGGGAACTTGACCCCCTCCCCCTTGCCCCCTCCCATGGGTCAGCATGGACAAATCTGCTTTTACTGCGGCTCCTCATAGAGTCCAACCAGGATGACCTTCAAGACGGCACACGGCAGTCCAAGATGGTTTCGAACATGCTTCCAGCAAGGTCCAAGACTGCCCAATGTCGGCTCCAAATGGCCTCGGAACCTCCCAAGTATACCCCTGAAGCGCCCAATCCGGTTTTCAGAGACCCAAAGGGGGTTCAGTGGTGTTTGCCCTCTCGCCTCTCATTCCCCATCGGCTTCCGAGGCCTCTAGATGGCTCCAGGATCGCCCACGAGAGCCCCAAGAGAAGCTCAGAAGGGCTTCGAAAAGGCCCAAAGAGCGCCCCAGAGCGCCCCAAGAGCGCCTCAAGAGGGCTCCAAGCGGCGATCTGTCGGGCTCAGACGGGGAGGGGGGCCCTGATCAGCGACGAAAAACACGATCCCTGAAACACCAAACGTGTTTGATAACTACGGGCCTCTCGGGGGCATCCGTGGGACCCTTTTGGGCCAAGATGGCCCAACATGCCGCAAGTTGACCTTCAAGTCGGCACACTGTAGCCATGGCTTCTTTCGGCGGCGAGCGAGGGGGGAAATGAGAAGCATCAGGACTTCTCGGGAGGTGGCGGGGCTTCTCAGAAACCCTCGCGTCTTTTGAGAAGTTCCCTGTGTCTTCGGGGAAGGCTTCGACCACTTCTCGAGGGCCGGGGGACTTCCGAGCTCGCTGAGAAGGCCCGCCCCTGCTGACTTCACCCCCCCTCGCTCGCCGCCGATTCCCACATATGGCCTCCAGCATGCCTCCAAATGGCCCCCAGCCTGCCCACACACGACCCCCAGTGGGCTGGGAGGCTCTTGGGACGCCCCCGATAGGCCGCCACCAGTCCAACACGCGAATTGCCCCAGCGCTTCCCTCAATACAGTAGAGGCTCGACCACAAGAAACCTTCCTCAAAAAAACCAGCCCTGAGACCCCAGGGCGTCCATTGGTTTCTGGCGTGGGAACGTCGCGCTTTCCATTGCAAAACCCCCAAAACCCAAGAAACCCAGGGTTCCGTGGAGGCAAGCAGGGCATTTCTTGGCATGGGTCTCCACTATGTTCTGAGTGTGGGTTTCCTGTGGTCAATGCCATGCCTCCGGGCTCTCATTCTCCCACCTCCTCTCGATCTAACTGAAACGCTGTTTCGCGCGGGTTCACACGCCACTCACGTTCACATCGTCCTCAGACTCGCCGATGCTCAGATCATTTTACTCTCAGACTCGCGAGTGCTCAACCTGACTCACGCCCAGCACTCCTGTTCCGGCGCCCTTGACCAACGAAGCAAATACTGCACCTGAGCAATTACGAACAAATGTTTTCCGGGCGCCACGCTGCGAAGCGCCCGCTACGGGGCTCCGCGGTGCGGCGTGCATGGCATTATTGGGGCATCCACGGGGGTCGACCAGGGGCGCTTCGCGGCACGGTCTCGCCAAGTTTGCGGAGTCCTTTCGGGCGGAACGCCAGGCATGACCCAGTGGACAAATTCGGACCCTCATACCAATCACAACGATGAAGACATCGTGCCTCTCCAGACAACCAAAGACAACTAAAATAGTTCCGACCGCGTGTTTCACTCCCGTTCACGTTCAGATTGCGGGGGCTTCTCCCGCGGATGCGGAGACCTCCCAGGCGACATGCTGTGGCCCAACGGAGGAATTCTTTCTGTGAGGCCATAGCCACCGCGATGTAACAGGCATGGTTTTGGGGCCACCCAAAGCGCGTCGATCAAACGGGGGGGGGTCACGGGCCAGTTCGCGCCTATATTGCAAGGAACTTTGCAGCAACACGCCTGTTATCAATGTGATGAAATTTATCACCAAGAGCGGTCGCGCCCTCCTGCGGGCAAGTCGAAAAGAGGCCAAGCTCTCCCTCCGCCCTAACTTCAGGAAGGCTTACAACAGAAAGCGGCGTCGGGAAGGGAGGTAGGTGGATGTGGCAGCAGTGATCCTCAACGCTGCTACCCCACTGATTTCCCTCCCCGTCATTCCTGTACTTCGCCCGCCCGCACGGCGGGCCGGCGCGCGCAAAAAGGCGCAAACCTCCACCGGAGGCAGATGTGATCCGCATGTGGGATCATACAAGATCTTCGCCCTGAAGAGCCCTCCACCGGAGGCGCGAGAACACCCCTCCACTGGAGGCTGGCCCGAACCGTGGACGGGCTCTCTGCGGGATCTTCGCCCCGAAAGTCTTCGACGGGAGGGCGACGGACTGCGACTCGGCCGCCTGCGGGATCTGCGCCTCGACCTGTCCTCCACGGGAAGAAAGAGATCTTACGCGGGGGCGCGGGGGCTCCGCCCCGCCGCGCCCTCCGCGGGGGAATGGCGCCGATGCAAAGCAGCGCGCGCGACGTCGAGCGCTCCGCTCGCGCCTGATCTGGAGACGCCACCCCGCCACTCGCACTGCCGGGCGGCTGCCGCTGGCGGCGCCCCCCGCGCGGGCCACTTCGGCGCCCGTCCTTCGGGGTGCCATCGGCGGGGAAACGGGGGCGCAGATTGCCCCGGTGGCCCCCCTGAAAGCGCAAGCGGCACACATTGTGCCCCGGCAGCTCCGAGGGAATGCCTCCCGGGGCAAATCGGCCCGCTTCGGCCGTGGAGGCGCCGCCCCTGCGTGCCTTCTTGGGTCTCTCGCTGAGCGGTCCACTCCGCTTGCCCGCGCCCTTGGGCCCTTGCCTCTCGCGCCCCGCATGCCCTTGCCTCTCGCGGCCCGCGGCGGAGTCGCTCGGCCCTGGGCCTCCCCCGCCTGCTGCGGCCGCGGCAAAAGCCGACCCGCGACGGACTGGTGCCGCGCACCGTGCCGGGGCAGCCTCTTCTTCTTCCATGTCTGCGCTGCCACGCTCGAGCCGACTCCTCCTCGCTGCTTGGCGCGGCGCGGCGGCGATGCGCGTCGGGCGCCTGCGCCCGCGCCCTCGCCCTCGCCTGGCGAGCCTGCCCCGCCCCCGGGTTCTCAGCGCGATCGGAACGGCAGGCAGCCCGACGGCGCAGAACGAGCATCCAGTAGGCCGTCGCCGCTGGGAACTCCCCCTGCAGAGCAACCGCGAGGCTCCACCGCGCGCGTCGCGCCAGTGCTCGGCCACGTCGCCCAAGGCGCGCGGCGACGGTCGCGCAAGTTGGCCCGGGCACGCCGCGCGGAAGAAGTTCCCGAGCTAGAGGGGCCAGCAGCCGCCACTCAGCCCCTGGACTTCCTCGCTGTCGAACGCGAGCCACTGATCGCCCGCTTCCAGGACTTGCTCCTCGCCCGCCACGCCCCCCCCCGCAACGCCGTCGCCGCCGCGCCCCCGGCGCGCCCGACGCGCGGGCCGCGGCCCCGGGCCGAGCTGAGGCTCGCGCCCCGCGCTCTTGCCCTCCTTGCGCCCCTTGCGCCCCTTCGGGGCCGGGGCGCCACCCCGCGGCGTCTGCTTGGCCGTGGGCAGCGGGGCATGGCGACCGCCGTCTGACTTCCTTGACCGCGCCGCGCTGCGCGCGAGGCGGTGCCCGGCTGCGGCCCCGACGCCCTGCGCGGCCGCCCGACGTGGGCGACGTCCTCGCGTCGTCTCGACCAGCCGTGGAGAGGGGGCAGGCAGCGCGCGGCTCGCGCGCGCAGGCGCTCGCTTGGGCTTCAGCGGCTGCGCGGCGCACGCAGTCACGGGGGTGGGAGAGAGCGAGGTAGGGCGACAACCTCGCTGCTTCCCGTCGCCGGTCGCCTTGCCTCGCTCGATGGTCTGGGCGCTGATCTCACGCGCAGGCGTTCGACTTGCTTCCGTGGGCCCCCGTTCCATGTCGCCCAAACCCCCATTGGTTAACACGTCTGATATCCCCCGCCGGCTAGGTAACAACCTCAACCCCACTTTGATTCCCCTTTGATTTCACCTCTTTGCGGGCCGCATGATGCGCGGGACCTCAGGGCGGCGAGCCACGCGGCGTCGCGCCGATCGTCGGGGATGTTGCCTTCGATCTTCGCGCGAACGCACAGGCTCCGAAAGTCGGTGAACGGCGCGAGCGGCATCTGCGCCTCGCCGCACTCCACCACTGGCGCGTCGCTCCATTCTGGCAGGGCCTCGCACGGGAGCGCCCGCGTGTAGCGGGCCTTGCCGTGGCCCGCGAGGCACGCCGCCGTCTCGGCGGAGAACGTCGACGCAACCGCGCGGTGGCTCGCCGCTCGCCCGGCTGCGCCAGTCCAGGATGGATATGGGCAGCTATTCCTGCCCCGTGCAATCCAGGTCGACAGCTGCCGCGGCCGCTCCTGTCTGCGCCCGAACCTCGCGACGATCAACCTCTTGAGGCCCCCGTCTTTTGCAAGGAGTTCGCCAGCGTTGCCGCGGGGGGGGGGTCGCACCAGCAGCCCGCCTCCAGGCGGCCCTTGATAGGCGCGATTATCAGGCAAGTGTCGCGGCTGGCGTCGACGTCCCCGATGCATTTTGCAGCTATGGTTTGGCTCCTTCTGCAGCTCCTGGAAGAGGTTCGACTCGGAAGCCCCGTCTATCGGGCACTGTCCGGCCAGCCAGTGTAGGGGGCCCACCGCCGACTGAATCTCGGGTTTGCCACGCGGGGCGAGCGGCGCCACCGCCTTCTCCGCCCGCCCGCAGTTGACCTCCTCCAAGCGTCTGTCAATCAACTCCGGCATGCTGACCTCAACGCAGTCCCCGTTCACCTTGGCCCGACGGCCGGCGTAGAGGTCGCAGCTGGCCTGTCCTGACACCGCTGTCCAGGACCCAAACGGGAGCCTGTCCTTGAGCTTTGCCTCCTTGCCCCGAATTATCGCGCTGCCGTCGCGCGCTATCGCGCAGTCGCCCACGTGGGCGATCAACGCGCCAGTAGGACGGTTGCCCTGGTCGCGACAGAAGAACGCCGCGTCCAGCTGCAGCTGCTTCCAGCCCATTTCTTCGACCAGGGCCTTGCGAAAAGTGTGGAGCCATGCTCGCGGGGCGCCAGGCAGCCCGCGTACTCTTGCAGGCCGCCCCTCGGCTGCCGCGCGCGCGGCGCCCCCCGGCCCCGGCGCGGCCCCTCGAGATGTCTCCGATCGACAACTGGGAAAGCCATCCGAGATTCGCGGACTGCTGCAGGAATGCGTAGAATCCGGACCGTCGCACAGCGGGGGCGTCGGTCTTGGCCGCCCCCGACTTCGCGTCGGGGCCACGTTGGCCCCGGGCGCGCAGCCGGGCTTTTGCTTTCGCCCGCGGTGGGGCCCCGGTGCCGCGTGGCGCCGCGTTCTTGTCTTTTGATGTTAGGCCGCTGCCGAGGATTCGTCGACGATCCACCCTTCGCAGCACCTGTTCGGGCGCGCCCAGCTCCAGCACTGTCGCATACATATACCGCAGCCACGAGTCCCACTCCTCATCGATTTCTTCCGACTTCAACTCTCTGTCTTGAGTCTTGCGGTCCAGCGTGGCGGACCCCGCCTCCCTGCGATGCGCCGACGCCACTTCGCGTGCGGGTCGAGAAACGACCAGCTCGGGCCCGCCCACTCGCCCCATCGTCGCGGGCACTTCCACCGCGGCGAGCGTCGGCGCGCGCCCCCGCTTCTTCTCTTAACACGAGCATGCGGTCGGCAGGAGGTCGGAGCACATCTCTGGGAGTGATCATCTCAGCCCACCGGACCCGATGTTCGGCGCAGCGCCAAGTCCCTGCGCGCTTTCTCACAGGTCGCACGTATCGACCACTTCCCCGCGGGGCGCCGTCCCCCCGGCGCCACCCGGGCCCAGGCGTCGCACAGACTCTGGACGGGTTGCCCCTGCTCGGTCAGGGCCCAGCCGGGGGCATTCGCGCACCGCGCCAGCCCTGGGGGGAGGCCCGAGGGCAGTCCGCTCCCCGGACTCCCCTGTGCGGCGGCCTCAGGGTTCGCGGCGGCATCGTCCATGTCGTCTTCGGTTTCGACCGCTGCCGCCGCTGGGGCGTCCCCCCTCGCCGAGTGCGAGGGCCCATCGTCGGATTCCTCCCCCGGCGCCAGGCCCCCGGCCGCTTTCAGGTCCTCCGGTTCGGGATTGAGGCCCGCGAGGAACCCTCGCGACTCATCGCCTGCCGGATCCGGTCGAGCGACCTGCGCAACTCCTCTTCTTTTGCCATCTCTTCTTTTGCCAAATAATCCTCTTCGGGACAAAACGGCCTTAGCCGTGCTGCGCACGCGCGTTGTCGCCATTTTGGCCGAGCACTGCGGCAGGCGTACCATTCGGGCTGTAGACGCACTGACCCAGGAAGTGATTCAGAGCGGAAGCCGTCTCCCAGGCAAGGCTTTTCATGTCGTCCAGGCCACCGTAGGCTCCGTGCCGGATGTTCTTCTTCATCGCACCTTTTGCCTCCTGCATATTGCGTTCCACCTTGCCCTTTCTGCCATGGGGCACGGTCGGGTCGCAGGCGCATCCGCTGCGCGACAGGGCGTCCACGAAGCTGCCGCTCACGAGTAGGGCGGACCAGCCCAGGACAACCATAGCCATTCGTATCGTTCCCACCTCTCTTCTTTCTCTGAAGTTCGCGCGGTGTTCTTGGATCGGCGCCAGAAGGCGCCGCCAGGGGGCTCCAGCTCTGATTGAAGAAATACGCGCGAGCCTCCGAGATGATAACGCAGTTCTGCTTAATATGTTTCTTACCATTGTTATCATAAGTGTTATTATTACTAGTACTATTAGTTGTAGTATTGTTAGTGTTAGTATAATTGAAATGTTTGTTGTTATTAATATTACTCGTAGTATTATTGTTACTACTATTATTATTATTATCAATAATATTATTATTAGTAGTAGTATTAGTAATAGTATTAGTAGTAATACTAGTACTATAACTATCATTCGTAGTCGTAGTATTACTACTAGTATTAGTATTCGTATTAGTTTTCGCATTCGTATTAGCATCATCCTCATTCGTATAATTAATACCATTCGTAACATTATCATCATTATTATTATTGTTATTAGTATTGGTATTGCTATCCTTATTGTTGTTAGTATTAATGATATTACGAATACTTCTATAATTAGTATTCGTGGAATTAGTTATAATAGTATGAGTCTATTTCTTCTTATGATTAGTATGAATCGGATTGGTATTATTACTATCATATTACTAGCATCCGGAATACTATTCGTATGTGTATTACTCATATTGGTAGTATTAATATGTTTACTATTAATATCAACAGTATGATTACTACTGTGCTTATATTTATTCTTCTTCATCTTCCTCAAAGAGGTCAAGAAGAACCCACGGAGGCTTTTGGTCGCCTCCATAGCGCGCTCTATGGCGCGCAGAACAGAACATCCACGCGAGGACGTCTTAGCCTGGAGCCTTTTGGGGGTTCTTCGGGGCCTCTTGGCGGCCTCCTGAGCCTGTCGGGGGCCTCCTGGGGCCTCTTAGGGACCTCTGGGGACTTCCTGGGGGCTGCTTCTGGCCGAGGGCTCGACATGTTGTTTCTTGTTCCCCCTCGAAAGAACTCCGAGAACAGATGCGTATGCCGTTTTTTGGCGAGGGCGACAACTGCCGGTGCAGAAGGCCACCCCCCAGGCGGGGGAGAACGCGGGCGGGGGAGCGCGGCACTGCCTCGGACTCCGAGCGCACGGGCGCCTCGTGCAGGCGCGGCGACCCCCCGCGCCACTGGGGCTGCAACAGTCCGCCGGGGCTCCTCCGCGGGCCGTCCTCTGTGGGCCGAAGTGCATCTCACACAGGGTCCGTCGTCCTCGTCCTCTTCGTCCTCCTCGTCCTCCTCGTCCTCGTCCTCTTCCTCCTCCTCCTCCTCCTCCTCCTCCTCCTCCTCCTCCTCCTCCTCCTCCTCCTCCTCCTCCTCCTCCTCCTCCTCCTTTCTCTCCTACTCGTCCTCCCCTCTCCCCCTCC